CAGAAGTCACCCCTGTAGTGACTTCTGCTACCAAAACCTGGCCATGCAAACCCAATACAAGCACACACAAAAGACAGATCGTATTTAAGGAGCTTCTAGACTAAGTATTTGTGTCCTCAGCACCCATAATAAAAGACCTGAAGAGTAGCTTCTGCGGAATCAAACCATCCAGCAATTGCTGGAAGAGATCCTCATTAATGCTGAATTGTCATTCCTTGATTTCTTGTTTATACCTTTACAATTCTATATCTTTCAAGTGAGTGGTTTTCTCTTAAAATACCTACTTGCGTGATCCATGCAACCTCTGACTGTTTTCCCTTTCTTGTCTTGTGTGACTCAACTCTGCAGCTTTCCTTATGACTTTGTTACGAGTGATGGCCTAACCTTTGGGAGGGGGGAAGAAGATGGTAAGTCACTACCCAGCAGTAGTCAAGCAGACCCCATTATTTGGTGTCCACTCTGCATTTCAAATGTAATGTAATTTCCATTGCTAATCAAGACCTTCCAGATAGTTAGAACTAGTAACTCTAGATGTTCTTTTCCAGCATAGTGAATGCCTTTCAGCTGGGCGTACCAGTTGTCATGCATGACTGTGCTTGTGTTCGGTGTTCTCAGAACCACATGAGTTCTACCAGTACAAAGGCGTGCACTATTCTGAATCTTTGTAGGAAAAATGAAATAAAATTATATACATCTTGCTTGTTTCAAAATACTTACACACATTCCATCACCTTTCCTTCTGCTTTGGAGTCTTGCCAGACTGATAAGTGTTTCTTTGGAGGTGAAATTAGAGTAACAGACATCCTTTTAAATCTTTGCCTTGTGCAAAGGGTTCTTGAGACTAAAATGCTTATCAGGTCACAGCCAATTAAAACTGTGGTCTCATGTATGAGGTGCTAGGGAAAACAACATATGGACCACACATCAAAAAGGCTCCTTGTTATCATGAAGCTGTTGATAAGAACTTCTGTAATGAAGGGACAGTGCAGCCAAGTGCAGCCAATCATCCTGTAGACAGACATGTGATCCTGTCTACCTCAGGCAGAACCATGGTTCACAAAAAGGTCCACTCTCCAGTGGGCAGTAGTGGACAACAGACCTGGCATCTGCCATGTCTAGAAAAATCCTGCAAACAGATCAAGTCCTACCAAAAAAACCCACCAAACCCCACAACCTGTGAAATGAAGAGTTTGCTCAGGCTGAGTGATTGGTCTCTGTGAATCTCCTGATAGAGGACTGAAGATGTCAGTGCACAGCCTTTAGATATGATATTGGCTAAGACATTGATAGTCCCTCATCCAGTGGGGTACACTGAAGCCTTTGTGTCTTCTGTGCTTCTTCCATTTCTTAAAAGGGAATAAATACCATCAAAACTTCCATCAAGCACCTAAAATGTAAAATCCTGATGAAGATTCAATAGCCCTATAAGACTGAGAGCTTTGCAAGCAAAAAAGACTCAGTGATACATGATTTCATCATACCAGGACCTTTTCACAGCCAAAAATCTGTAGACAGGAAGTATTGAAAAAACAGGTAAATTCTCTGTTCTGTACTGCTGCCAAAAGAGGAAGGTTAATTGGCTCTAAAGGACACATGAAGGTTTCCAGTATTAAAGCAAACAAGTGTACCCCAAAGAGGAGATTATATATAGTCTCTTCAGATTGTTTGCAGAGCTTAAAATACTTGAATACCAAATAACCTGTAGATTAGGAATGAATAGGCAATACCCTTGTTAACAAAATCTCTATTGCTTTAGAATCATTTAGCATGAGAGACCAGAGTCTTCCTTTTTCACCAGAGCATTGCATTGAGGGAGCTGCCCCTGTTACTGAAAAGGGAATGTCTTCAGCTATTGACTTTTTCCTCTTTCTTACTATTTCAAAAAAGAACATAAAAAATATAGCTGGTTTTTTTAATTCTAACACAGAAGTTGGAGCAGGGATGAGAGCTCCCATAAAAGGCCAGAGCAGGCAAACTCTTGGAAGTATTACAGAACCACAGAGCACAAATTGTTACCCAGCTCAGAACTAAAGGCTTGCATTGGCATGCCATGCTTTATGTTGGCAAATCCAATGAAAAGCATTGCAGAAGCCTCATATAAGACACTGCAAAGTTAAAGCCTGAGCAGGCACAGGTTGCAGCAGAGGAGGTTTAAATAGGCTATTGGGAAAAGTTTCTTCACAGCAGCAGTTGTCAAGCATTGGAACAGGCTGCTCAAGGAAGTGGTTGAATCACCAGCCCTGGAGGCATTTATAAGTCATGAGGATTTGGCACTCAGAGACATGGTTGAGTGGTGGACTGGGCAGTGTTAGATTAACAGTTGGACTCGATGAAATTAGAAGCCCTTTCCAACCTGAATGAATCTACATGATGCACTTGAGAAATAGTCCAAAAAAAGAACTACCGCATTCTTGATGTTGACGAGTTTCTGACAACAAATTATGAAAAAAACAACATACCCTAGAGAAAAGAAGAAAGCTACAGACTTCCAGCATGCTTCTACAGCATCAAGTATTTTTTATAGCTAAATAATAATAATAATAAAGCAGATGTAAGAGTGGTCATGTAAAGGAAATACTTATGTAATATGAAGACAGCAAAAGGCTGGTTGGTGAGATTAGTGCCAAAAGAACACTACATAAATCATTGTCAAAGTAGCTTGGCCCTACGCTCCTAAGAAATTTTAAAAAGCCATCTATTTTTAAAAAGGTTAAAGCAATTTTTATTCCTCTAAAACTTACATGAAGATGTTTCTGTATTTTATTTTTCCCCTACACAATGCACGTTCGACAGCAAGGAGAGCCAGGGAATTAGTATCTGCTGCTAAAATGATTATCTAGTTCCTCAAGGAAAGTCGGATGATTGGGATTTTATGTCATATTTCTACACTTGCAGTAAGAATCAGTCTTTTATAGAAACAGGCATAAATTTTATTGAGTGTAAGAATACAAAAATTGACACATTAAACTGTACAAAAGGTACACTAGCACTAAATGAGGCAACTGTATCCATACAAGAGCCAACATTTACAAATGACTCATACTACTGAAATGTACAGGTGCCGTGGTACTTTCTCATTAAGACTTTATATTCCAATAAAGAAGCAAAACTAAAACCAAGAGCAGTAATTATGTTCTAGTGCCTAGTGCCTAAATTTAGAAGCCATATTCCAGAACACAAATCAAAAATAACTGCCTGACTTTCAATATCACAGAGAAAACATGTTGAACAAGGATTAAAAAATTCCCTCAATTTTAAAATTGTGAAGACATAGTACCTAGTAAGCATTGGCTGATGTTGAGCTGTTAGATTACAACACACAGCCCCACAGTATTTTAAAGAACCTAGATCCAAATTTGAAGTGGTTCTAAGGGCAGTTTAGCTTAACTGACATACAGACTAATAACAAACACATTACCAATGTTACTAACATGATTTTTTTTATTATTTGGACTACTTTAATTTCAGAATATTACATTGGCCAGTGCATTAAGCAAAGGCATTGTGATTCTTTGACCCATGTTCATTAGGGCCCATGGAAATGCCATTTATTTTGCTCTCATTTAATCAACTGACTACTGCACGTGGCAAGGAACATACAGATGCTAAAAACACAAGATCAGTTATAGAAGCAGAGATAAACAGGTATGGGGGAGTCAAAAGAGAGCATAGCCCCTAAATAAGCACATAGTTTAAAGGAATGTGGTTCTCATTTGCAGCTTGTAGTTTTGCTCTCTTAGATTATCTAAAACTACCTTGCTTTAGATAACAAAAATGTTAAAGAGATCACAAAAGGAAAAAACTGAAGAGAAGGAACTGGGATATAGTAAAGACAGTTTGTTACAGAAAACAAAAAGTAAGTCTGTAAAGGTAAGAGAAAAGAGGACAACAAAAGAAAGCATAAAAACTTCCCACCTGTCGGAAGACTTTTCTAGCTGTCAAATTAGAATTTTGGAGTATAAAAAAGGAACAGAAAATTAGAAGCTTAAATAATGTCATCATTATCATATCTGAAACAAAATACTCGTACCAGGGCCAGAAGATTCACGCACTCTGTTAAGAACAACTGAGTTTTAAACTCATTCTGCAAAAATAGCCTAGAATTAGACAATTCAGTTTTTATCTGCAGTCTGTGTTTAGATGGTCTAACTCAAGTTTTGTTGTGTATCCTAGGCATCCGTGCTGCATTCAAATATTGTAGAATTGAGGAGCAGCTTCCTTTGTCTATCAGCTGCTAAATGCCTTTAAACAACTGCAAAATTGTTTTTATCTTTGCATATTTGAATGTCTGTCCTCTAAAAACAACACTCAAATACTTCAATGCTTTCATTAGGAAATACCATCATAAACTATCCAAGATATGGATGCTGGGTTTTATTTATTTATTTTTTAACACAAAATTATACACAGAATAGATAAAAATATACTACTTTCACATAGCATCAATCCACTTTTTTCAAAGTATTTGGACCAGAGCTGCCTATACAGTAATTCTACTGCTACTTTCCTGAGGAAAAGTCAAAGTCTGTCCAACTGGCTAACAAGAAGAATACAGACATTTTAGACCATTTTGATGCATCTAACATGCACCAAACCTACAAATTATTAGATATACAGCCAGAATTTATATGATGTCCTATTTAGAGCTTTGTCTGGTACACGTATTCAAGAAGTTCAGTGAAGTTTCATCTGGGAGTTTGAGCAGCTAAAGACAAAGCTTGGTTTTCAAACTACTGTGTTTCTTTTTCTAGATTATTTACAAGACTACTATGTAAGGACTTATCTTTTCAAAAGAGGTTTTGATTTTTTAGTCATGTAAGAGGTGTCTCTGTGCAGTTTCATAGGTAACTGAACAAGCAGAAGAGAGACATTTACATTTAGTCTTGCTAGCAAAATAAGGCTTGGGGAAGGATGTGAACTGTCTGTGACGTGCGTGCCCTAAACGCATACATATGCTATTGAAAGTACAAAGTCTGAGCAAAGCATTTTTTAAGAAAATGCAAATATTTTGTTTAATTCTTAAATGTATTTGTGTCAACAAAACAAAGAATGTTCGTAACTACTTCCTTCCACTTAAAACCAGTTTCAGTGCTAAACACAGCTAAGTACCCATCCCTTTAGAAGGCAGCACACTAGAGCTTCAGAAATGCAACATTTTTATCTTCATCACTCTAGTGATTAGATACTTTCAGCCTTCTTTTTATAAGTGTCTAGAATGTTGCTCAAGTGTGACAATAGATCTTCAGGCATGAATTCTTCATCATCTTTGTAAATTCTTACATTCTGTTCATCAAGGTATTTCTAGAAAAGAGGTACAGAAAGTTTTATTAGCTCTATCATAGTCTGCATTTTACTCATTCTGCTAAAGCATTTTAAGCAGTCATTGCACAGGTTAACTGATTTCAGTTATACAGTTTCCTGAAAGACATCTATCAGAAGCAGGTTTAACTTGACAGGATGTTACTGCTGAAACTTAATGATCAATTCTGATTATTTATACCAAAGGTTTTGTCAGAAAATTTAACTAGAATCCGTGGACTCAGGGCAGCAGCTAAATAACTGATACTTCCTTAGAAAGAGTAAGCTCTAATTTCCAAGTGTTTAACTGCAAATGTCTCTAGAGAGATTTAATTCTGAATATCAAATTTTAGCTTACCACTATAGATGCTATATGAGTAGCAACTGTTTCTATAAGACGACTCAAGTTAGCACCAATTTTTCTCTTCTCTTCTGTTGTTGTTTGCAAAACAACTTGATATCTAAAAGGTAAAGATACTCAGAAGGTCATGTCCATAATTAGAGAATTCCTGACATTTAAAACAATCACTTCAAATCTGATTTATCACCATATTTAGCCATACTTTTTTTCCATTAGTATTAATTTGAACCATGTTACAATATATTACAATATATTAATACTCAACTTAAAAAAAACCAAAGGACTGTATTATGCTCACTGATAAGAAACAATGTACCTTAGAGTCCGAATGCTCTTTCCAGACTTTGAGGTATAAAATGCAGTTGTCACGTAAGTTTGGAAACAAACTAATTTCTTAGCTATAACCATATATAAAAAAATATAATATGGAAAACAGGAGTTCTGATACAGCAGAAAAATATTTTAGCAAAATACTAAAAATGCTGATGTTGAGGAAAAACATCTTTCAGTTGTTAACTTGCGAAATTAATACACTGAGATGGATACGTGCTGAAACAACTTTATGTTACATTCAAGGAAATATCTTTATCCTTAAAAACCAAAATAAACAAGGCAAACATGGAAATTATGAATCTTACTGTCTTTGGAGATCATGCAATTCATTTGTGGCTTCACTGAGACCTTCATAGACGCCACTCTCAAGTAACTGTTTATGCTTCTTTAACGATTCCAGTTCATTTGCACATTTCTGCTCTTCCTCTTCTATCTCCTATAGACATAAGGAAAGAGGAGAAAAAATGGCCTTTCTCAGGTATATCCTATTGCTTGAATTCAAAATACAAAAAAGCGGCTCCAAGTTCAGAACTGAAAAAAAAACCCTCAAGGACATCCCTCCCAAACCTAAAGTTTCAGCGGTTTTCTGTATCATCCCCATCCCAGAATAAGCCTAACCATCTCTTTATTCCTTTAATCAAATTTAAAGGCTCGTGTTGCAGCTATTTTCCCTTCAGAGGAAGGGAAACCTTTCCCTTCAACACTCAAAAAGTGTTGTTTACTACAAGATAGTCTAAATAGCTTAGAAATGGCACATCATGAACAACTGTTTCTAGGTTAAAAAAATACAACCACATTTGAGTAAGAAAACAGGTTTTCCTTTTTGTCTGAAAGAGAGTACAATTCCAAATAATCATCTCTTCAAGGAGAATACATCTGTTGGTGCTATACAATCCACAAAACCAACAAAATTCTGCCTTCAACTCAACATGCAATTCTGGTAGATTACTGAAATATCATCCTTCAAAAATAATTTTAATACTTAAGACTTACAAACAGCATTTTAAAAATTAGAAGAGGAATTACATGACTATGTCTTATTATAAACATCTGGCGGCAAGTGTGTATTTTATGAACTTAACTTTAGAGAAAAGTATATGCAAGAGCACAGACCAAAAGCTAAATGTCATGTTGTTTTGCAAAATATAAACTAAATTAATTGCCTTTATATACCTATATATACCTACCTCAGCAGGTATTAGTAGTGAAATAGCCCTGTTTCATGGCTGTAGCACAGGAGTTTGGATTTACAACAGCATTTATGGTAAATACTGGCTTAGTTCAATGAACATTTTTCTGCAGAGCACCGCAACCCCACTAAAGCAGTGTTGTCAGAGGAGTTGGGAGGTACCGAAATACCCACTCAGTTTTTAACAGAGAGGGCTATGTTTTTAGCTGAACTGCAAGTGGGGAAAAAGATAGGGACTGCTCCTGTGCTGGGAAAGGAAGCAACAGTTTCAGATCATTAAAACAATTTAACATGCTTTTGGTCAATCCCTGTTTTTCTTAGTTTTTACAGAAGCTGATTAAACATGTTTAGTAAAAACTGTAAATGTATTTATTATATACAAATTGATTAGACAAGGCAGATTCTGTTAATCCTAAAATCTCCTTCAAGCACATGTCTGGAGACATCCTGAGGTCAGATGATTGTTGCTGCTTTTATTACTGGATGCAGTAATTTATGATTTACAGGATCTGCTACAATATGATGTCAGATTCTCTTGCAAGAAAGTGAAAACTGATGCAGTTAAGATAGCAGTCAAATCACTTTTCTGAAAAGAATGAAAAAATCCTGTAACAGGAAGGGAAGAAGGCAAAGGCAGAAGCCCAAACAAAAATGCAACCCAAAAATTTATCTATAAATACAAAAATTAAGGATAAGGGTATCATTAAGGATAAGTTGTCATCAAGCTGTAAGAAGTTCTACCTTAAGCTTCTGCTGGTAAAGATCATCCAGCTTTTCAGCTTCTTCTGTCAGCATTTTCACATTGCGTTTCTTGTCCTCTAGCATTACATTCACCTATGATGAAAACATAACCAATGAAGTATAGTTCAAAAAGAATTCCAACATATAAGGCCATGCCATCACAAACCACATCTGGTAGCTCCAAAAAAAACCAATTAAACTAGGCTAGGCTGGGATGGCATTACCTTTCTTCATAGCAGCCTGTATTATGCTTTGTTTTGGATAAGGGGCTAAAACAGTGTTGGTAACCAATGTTTTGGCTACTGCTGAAAACAGTGCTAGCACAGCATTCCAAGGCCTTCTATTCCTCCCAGGGCCCTTCACTGAGTAGGGCAGGGACAGGCAAGAGACTGGGAAGGTGCATAGCCAGGCCAGCTGGCCAAGAGGACATTTCATACCACATAACATCATGCCCAGCAATAAAAACTGAGGTAAAGGTAGAAGAATAAGGAAATAAAATTTTCCTTCTTTCAATCCATCCCAAATCCAATATTACTAAAATTCTTCCTGATGACAATTTGTCAGTGATGGTAAGGCACACAATCAACTGGAACGGGCAACTTAAAAAACAAATACTTCCAATGTTTATGGTCAAATACATGTAAGCTACATAAACTTTAATTCAGGGAATACACAATATTTCAACCAACAAAGACCCCAGTTCTTAGAAAAACTTCTAGGTTCCATCGCAATTAAAGCAGTTTTCTCACAGCTTCTCCCCCTCCACTTGTCCTCAGAAAAACCCCAACCAATCCAAAAAACCAACCCACCACACCACACTTTACCCATGCAAAAGGTTGAATGAAAGCAGCAGATAAGGTTTTAGGGGTGGTATCTTAGTGTTAATCTTCATTAACCAACGCACCTGTTCCAAAGTATCTTCCAAAGTCATCTTCCGTTGAGTAGCTTTACTAATTTCTTCCTCAGTGTCATTGATGATCTCCATGAGGGGAGCCTGTAATACGCATACAAGAAGATCCAACAAATGCAATTTGCTTATTTGAACCAAGATGTACCCCAGTACATCTTTTCCTGTTATTTTTTTTTAGGCTACTATATTCTCCAATACCAAATTTCTTTCACATACTACAATGTAATTATGGTGACTCATCACACAAGCTTTTCAATGACATTTCATTGTGAGCTTGAGAGACCTTCCCAGCATTTCCAAAGAAACACACCTTTTTTGTGAGTGGTATCTAAAGCCTTAAGTGTTGACTTTACTTACCTTGATCTGAGTTCTGTATTTGACGAGGCAATTTGGTCCTGCCTCAGGATTAAACTGAATCTCAAAGTCGTGGCCTTTGGAATTCTCTGCACTTACTGGAATTAATTTCAGCTTTCGAGCCAGTTTATGATACTCTGCCAGTTGCATTTCGATCTGCTCAGAGAAAAGGGCACAAATCATAGAAGAGATACAAGTGAAAAGATTTGCAAGAAGTATTCATATAGTACCTTAAACAAGTTCCAGAGTTACTCTCTATAGCCATAATTCCTTGTTACCCCACAGTATTCAAGAGCTGTATGTAATGCCAGTCCAGCAATTTGCTGCATTAGGTGCTGTTTTATGATTCTTTCAGAGTTTTCACACTGAGGTTTCTTAGTGTATATGGCTGAGAACACTGAATGGTTTCACCCGTGGTTTTCCATATTCATTTGCCTCAAGTTTTTGAGAATTAGCTGATAGGGAACTAAAAACATGGTGGAAAATAATACTAAACCAATGATCAATTATCAGGTCAATATGCCTTCCCTCATTAGTTTTGACTTGCCACACATCATAGTAACAAACTAACTTGAGCATGCCTCTAAACAAACTTTATTAAATGCTCTAATTTCTAATTAATAAGTGCTATTTATATGCAAATGTTAAAAAACCCATGTTTTTTTTTTTTCCAGTTTTATGTATAAACTCATACTTTCACATGAGGATTTAAGTTAATACAAGTGCTTGATAAAGGGTAACCCTACCAAATATATTTGTAACTTTTTTCTTTAGTTCACCAATTGGCAAAGCAGAAGCTTTTAAATCCCATCACTTACAGGACTATATCTTTTCATTCTGTTTGAAGGGATTGAACTTAGCCCTTGAAAAATGGTACAATTTCTACACAAAGAACTAATCAGGCCTTAATGCATGCAAAGCTATTGATTCAAATTCACTGGTTTTGCCTTACTTCCTTGCTCTGAAATATTAACATTAGCCTGTAATTTCTTGTGTTATCAAAGCATGGCATGCTAATGTTATCAAAGCTCTTAATGCTATAGTAGCGAGAGCTGACAGCTCTTCATATTCTAGATACATCTCTTGTGATACAGAAAAAAAATTACATTTTCATTAAGCGCAAAACAGAAAATGGAAAATAAAAAAGGAAACATTTTTCAGAAGTATTGTAAACAGAGGCCATTCTTGTCAGTGTTGCCTGGTTAGATACATGTAGGGTGGTGTTAGATTATTTAGCAAAGAAATTATCAAGACTCCAATTTTAAGCGTGCATGATGAAAACTAGCAGCCACCTCTGAGTGTAGTGGGGTTTTCACATACCGCCTCTTTATTCCTAGCATATTTTAGCTCTTCATTCCACAGCTGATGTTCTTCTGCTTCCAGTTCCTTAGTCAGCTTGTTAATGGTTTGCTGCAGCTCATTTCTCTCATGATTTATTCTCTCAATGTCCGCAGCTGAGTACTTTTGGTTATCTAAGATGTGCCGGAGCCGGGCATTCTCCTGCTTCGTTGCTTCTACTTCCATTTCTAAGTTCATAAAACATTTGTGAAATGGACATAAAATACCAGCCTAAATACGTAAACCTCACCTCTGTATTTTATGAGTAAATAACATCATTATTACATGACAGTACTGTTTCATTACTCCAGTGTACAAAGAGCTATTAGACAAAAAAAAAATCTTTATTAGCAATCCATTCTGGAAAGTATATTTGTAGCATCATCCTACTCCAAGTATCTCGCTCTGTCCTCAAGCTAAGATCTACAATTATTTGAAGACTATTTCTAGTTTCACTGTCCTGACTGTGATTAAGCCTCCTTACCTGCTGTCTCAACTTCATCATTAACACTTTCCAGTTTTTGATCAAGGATGGCTATATGAGATTCCAGATTAGCCAAATAAGCCTGGTATTTCTGGACGTCTGCTTGAAGAGACGATTTCACATTTCGTAGCGTTACTCTACGATCCTAGGAAATGGGTGAAAAGAACAACCACTCTTAGATAAATATAAAATAATTCACTTTCCAGACAAGACAGTAGCATAATTGATCAATATCAGTAGCACAAATATAAAACTAAAGAACTTTAATAATTTTTTATCTCTGTGACAGCTAAGTCAAGTCAAGCATCTTTAACAGCAAAGAAGGCTGAAAAGATTCTTGCATTTCAGCATTAAGTCTCTCATTTGCATCAGACACTACTTTAGACAATTATTACTACAGGTAGTTCATAAGTTAACTCTAATGATATATGGAGGGCAGATAAAACAAGGGCATGGAAAGCTGGGAATATACTCAGCACATTTTGCACAGTTGGCAGGAATCTCAATTTGCCACCTGCATAGATACTAACCCATTTTTAAACTCAGGATGTATTAAAAGCAGAATCCAGCTTCTCAAGCAAAGTATTTCCCATAAAATATGTTGTTACCACTGAATCCCATGCCTCATATTTGAATACCAAAACATTTGAAAAAATAATATTGAAATTTATATTAAAAAAAAAGTGGTTCAAGCATTTTATTAATATTTCAGTCAATATAAGACATTATCGCCTGTAAATATCTGCACATTATCAAACAAATGGTTACTGAAGACTCCAAGAAAAGCCTTGCTCTATAATGGCATAGAGTCTGTAAAAACCTGGCCTAATTAAAATCACAAAGCACTGAAAAAGTTCCATTTGTTATGTGTCATAAGTATCTTCATTCAGAAATGGTCAATATTATAAAATTCAACTCCACCATAAAAACAGACACAATTTACTAACCGGCTCACTTTCCTTTTCTTTTTCTAGTCTTGCAATCTCTTCTTGAAGCCTTTTGTTTTCAGCTGCTAAACTTTCCATCTGGAATGGATCTATATTAAATAAATCCTCTGTGGGAGAGCAGAATAGAGAGTGAAGTTACAAATTCGTCTCAATATCACCACCTATTTTGAGTATCTGAACTTTAGCTTCAGCACAGTAAGTACCCATTATCTGGATAATTATTTTACACTAAAGAAATATCTAAAAACAACCAAGAAACTTATCAGAAAAACCTTTCATTAAAATGAACCAGGCAAAAACCCCAAAACAAACAAGAAGAGACATGGGTTTCTCAGGCCTCATGTCAAAGTCACTCCCAAGAGGTAAGGGTTTCCAAACTCTCATACAGCCCACACTACAGGAGAGTATGTAAGTCTATATGGACCATCTTGTGAAGCTAGAACAAATCAAACTTATTTAACAACCTCTTTCTTATCCATATACTTCCTTGCTTCTTGAGGCATCTTTTCCCTAACTTCACTTGGCCTTTGCCAAAAAATGGGATGATTATTTTTTCCTAATATCCAGTAACAGTATGGTAGCTTGTTTCCTCTCCAACTGGACTCCAGTTTGCAAACAAAGGGCTCTTAGTCTGGCCTTTCATAGGAGAGCAAAGAAAGTAAGAAGTGTTTTTCTTCCTTGTTCTCACATTGTGTTTGTATTTGTGTAGGTGGTGAAATGAGTGAGTGAAAAAAACGTAATAATTTTCTACATCCCTGAACACAAACACCTGTGCTTCAGGTGCATGCTGAATCACATACAGGAACCCTCACAATGGAGTCTGGAACTCCTGCAGACTCTTTTCAGATCTTTCAAAAGCTGAACTTTCTTATCAGGTCTGCATCCTCTGAAAATATTTTTCTTTTTTTAAAGTGTTAACTTTGCCAGACAGAAACAAGAGTCATCTGCATAGATGGCATTCACATCTGAAGAACTGTATACTGGTTTTCCGTGACAAAGACATTAAAAAACAAGGTGACACAGCTACAGCTGACAGCAGATCATAACCTAACCATCTGTACTGCTAAAAATATATATAAAAAAGAGAGCATTAAGTTGAAGTAACTGAAACGTACTTAGGAATTTCAGACTCCCTTAGATCACTTTCACTTGTAAACTGAAAAAACTGATGCTAGGAGAAAAGAAACCAGTAACACAATTGAATACTTAATTAAAATTTGAAAACTTACTTAATTTTGACTGCACTTCAGCATCCAACTCTTCAAAGGTATCTCTCCCTTTCATGAAAAGATCATAGCACTTCACACAGTAGTCCATGAAAAGCTGAAAACAATTTAAAAATCTTTCATTTCAACAATTCCAAGGCCTATAAAATATCTGGATAGTCTAAAGCTATTCAATCAGTGGAATTAAACAGACAGCAAAAATATCTTTAATGCTTTTGTAAAATTAAACTTTTTTCCTCCCTTTGAACATAGAATGTCAAGATTATATTCAGGCAGAAACAGACACCTATAATTCACATTAAGAAAGGTCTGGAAATACTGTATTTTTTTTGGGATAATTAACAAAGATTGTAGGTACAATACTTAAGAATTTTTCATCTTGATGCATATGATTCTCTCATAGTTTATGGAAACTGGAAATCTGTTTAACAGACCTCTTCTATAAATATGACCATTAAAATTCAGATCTGCAGATGTCAATATACTTATCTAGAATTAAAGAAAGGTTATGCAAAACAAATTTGCTAGACACTAAGACACAGATGTTTCAGAAGCAATTACACCAAATTGTAATTTTGTATCAACATATATGCATAAATGTCAGTGTAGAAGGACGTATTTAGTTCAAAAGCATTTTTACTTGCCAACCATCAGGTTGTAACCTTAGTCCAAAATTATGATTTTACGTGATTTTTGCAATTTCTAATTAAATGTTTTAGCTTATAATGCAACCCTGTCCAAACACCTGCTGTGAGTTAACACTGAGTTAAATCTGAGTAGTTCTAATAATCCATGATAAATAAAGAAGAAAGCAATCTGTTGGATTTTTAAGAGCCTGAATTATACTGCCACCCTATTTTGTGGCTCAGAAATAAAACTTTACAACCAATTTTTACATAGTAAACTGAGTAGATATTGGCACAAGTCACTATATTTAGAATTAAGTCACTGTCTTTACACTGCACTGCTGTTAAATTCAGAAGTCTTGAGTGCTAAAGCAAAATATACCAGAAACTCTACTAAAACAATAAACAGCATAATGATTCCCTTTCTCCACAAAGGAGAACTGAAACAGTAGATTCTTGGAGAATAAGGCAAATATAAAATAAGGAGAACATTTTGTTTAATACCCAGTCTTCACCAATAGACTGATCATGATACCTGCTCAGGAAATAGTTGATAAGGTTTTTATATAATGCTACTCTACTTCCTAGAAAGCATTGTGAATATAAAAGGCAAAAGAATCTATAAATACATGACACAACAATCTAAACTGTAATTAAATTGTGTTGTTGTTACAGCACATGGCAAAATTCAATTGAGCAATTCTGATTCTAATTTCCTCTTTATGGTACCTTATTATGTACAATTCCATCATCTGTCTCTCCTCCCCAGCTCTGTCTGTCATCAAAGGATGGTGCATTTTCCCTGATCGCATTGTATAGCTGAAAAGCAGAGGTGCACACACAAAGAGCAAATGTGAAGACATCCATTAGTTTCCATACTGGTTTCATGAAAAGAAGCAGAGTAACACTGGATTATGATTTCAGCAAGCAGGTTGGAATGAGCCTGTGTTGAGTTGACTAAAGACACAGGTAAAGAAGCGTGAACTGAATAGTCAACACTGCCAAGTTGTCTTGTGTCTTTTGCGCAAAAAAGGACAGGATTTTCATAGGTGCTCAATTCAGCAGCAGTCAACTTCTGTCACAGATGCCAAATTTTGCTCAGACCTGAGCTGGCAGCAGTTACCACTGCTAAAAACCCAAACAAACCAAACAAAACCAAAATTAAATAAAAACACCCCACCCAAACACAAAAGTTGCCACTTTGTATCAGAATCATGGGATATTTGAATAATTTCAATTGAGAATTCCATCCTTAGATTTCAAATTTAGGAGAGAACAGCAGATGTCACATTTGCACTGCAGATACACATTCTATTCCGTGATTATACTCATTAACTTCTCATGTTTAATGTATTTATAGATCAGAATTTCACCATCTTTTTCATACATTAATTTATCCAGTGCATACATTTAAAGAAAAAAATTATCATAATATAACATGAAAAGCTCACTTTAAAAGTTACTAAAACATAAGGCTAAGGGTCATCTCCCAGATGACAGCTAAGAACATGTATGTCTACATATATGTTAAACAAAGAGATTTGTAGAAAATATTTACTAGATCCATATTGAAAATAACCTTCCAGCCTGGAAAGTGGAAATATTTATCTTAAGAGAAACATTACCTTGACACAATCAATTAACCAAACCAAAGCTGCCACAATCTGAGGCCAGGTGTGTGGTGCTCCCACAGTGTACATGGAGCTTTTTGACAGAGCAAAGGGGTACCTGTATGGCCAAAGAAGATGCATTTTTAATAGCTGTGGCAGTGATGAAAACAAACCACCACATTTTCATATGTAGATGAAAGCACAGAAGGAAGAGCAAACTCAATTGTACTGTACTTCAAAGGAAAAGAGTTGCATTCTTCCAGTACTATTTTATTCAATTATCATGGATTTCTCATTTTGTGATTCATAGAATATCTTGGTTTGAAAGGAATTCGTAAGGATCAACAAATCCAACTCCTTACTCCTCATAAGACTGCTTACAACTAAATCATATGATCAAGAGTGTCGTCCAGATGTTCCTTGAACTCCCAAAACTTCAAGTGACTTGCCAGAATTAGTCTTTTTATCCAGAATTATACTCTTGGTGGAGCAGAGTGTAATCCTTTTCAACATTTCAAGCTATGTCAGCAGTTTCAAATGTTATAGATTAAAACAAAATTTTATTAAAATGCTGAGAAGTGAACAAAAAAGATTTACACCGACATTTAAGGAGCCCTGGCACTTTGACACCATCATAGGTTCAAATCTACAGCAGTAAAATACGCTCCCTTTTTTTTTTAATGAGACTGAAAATTCACAATTATCAACAGTCAGAGGATTTTCTTTCTTGGAAAGCATTGGGGCATCAATGATTTCAAACACTGAACAAATTCAGCAATAAACCACTCAGCTGCTTAGCATTTTTTTCACCTCAACAGTAATTTTTATTATTTCAACATTCTGCTTTGAAAGCAGAATGAGAAAAATGGCAGGAAAACATATTTTAAACTAAATTAAATTTGTTTAAACTAAAATTAAATTTAATTGTCTTGATCCAAAATTCTGGAAACTTCAGTTCTTAGATTCTAACAGAATGAACAGAAAGGTCTGTAAAAGAAAATTGTGTCTTGTCTTTCAAAGTTCTATACAAATAATCAATTAAATTTTACATTACAAAGCAAGATTCCAAGAGCTTATAGTTCTGCAAGTTCAAATATAAAATGTATAGCAGACACTGAAAACAAGAGAGTAAACCTAGAGCTAAACAAAATCTCATCTGAATAAAGAAATCTATCCATTCTCCCCAGCTACCAATGCAGAATTCTTAGCTTTTAAATTTCTAGCCATAGCATATCTATTCAGCCCAGGAGACTAACAATAATCATCTTACCCAAGATCTTTAAAAACTTTGGGAATCTCCTCTTCAAATTTTGAGTCAGGCAGCTCATAAGAAGGGCAGAGGAATTTATAGATAAAGGTGAAGATCTTTAAAAAGTCCTTAACTGATGGAGACTGTAGTGATTTCATGGAAACATTGTGGGCATAAGCATTCTCAACAAGGAACTGTGCAAACAAAACACAGAATACCAGTCACTAAATAAAATTTATAGTTGAAACCAAGGGAAATAACCATTTTGATTAGCACATTTTACACTTCATAACATAGATGCAGAATAAGTTAATATGTTACCTCACAAAGCTTCTTGATACATTGCTGGATGAATGCCTTGTCATGAAGGGGCCTGGGATCCTTTATCTTTTCTGTCCCAAACACACCGAACTGGCTGCTGCGTGACCCTCCAGCCCCACTCGCTCTAAGGACAGACAATAAATACAGGTCTTGTGACAATACCTATAAAGAAGAACTCTCTTCATGTTTAAGTCACAACAACTGCTATGTTTATGTTTTCTTTGCATTTGTGATACAAAGTGATACTTGAAGTTTTCTTTTCATTTAAGGTCATTGGAAAAACTTCATCAACCTGGAAGCTACGATGCCACATGTACAACAAAGGGATTACTGCATCCTAGATTAATACTTTCTTCATTTTATGGAAAGAAATAAACTTTTAGAGAGCATAAAAATACCCCAAAGATGAAGAAAAAATCATGTTGGTGACTGTAAATAAACTCTAAAATATTTAAGGAATATTTAAAAGGAATAGACCCCTACAACACTGGAGTACTATCAAAGAAGATACCTCATGACTTTCTGTGTTGTGGGTAAGCAGAAAGATTATAGATTTTTGGAAGGTTTGTATCTTAGAGAGAGGAAACTAACACAAAGTATACTTCAGATGTCATTCTTCCTTAAACAAGAAAATGTATTGAGATACTCTTAAGATCTGCAGTGCACATCATTCCCAAAATAATAAAAAAAACCAGCTCCCAAAGCAATTCCTGCTCCACAGCATTGTTTAGTGACTAAGGACTGGAGGAAGGCAGACCTGATCTGCTTGCCTCAGATCCATTATTCCCTATAATGAAAATCTATCAAGAAAGAAAAATGACAAAATTACCTGCGGACCTTTTTTGTTTTAACAAAACAAGTGCAGTGAACACTTACAGTGCAGAGAACAAAAGCTATCCGTACCTGTTCCCAAAACAGCTGACTTTTCTTTCTGAAGCTCCAGATGCAGGTTTGGTCATGCTCAGCTTCCCAAAGGTGCTTCTGTCCTTCCTGAGGAACAGAGAGAAGGATTTGAGTGACTAGTTCCACCAATTCATATTTTGCTCGTATCAGAGCAAAATACACTATACAATGTATTCCTAAGCACCTTCATCCCAGCAACCTCTTAGAAAGGTCAACTGATGCACCCAGCCGCCTCCTAAGAAATATGTAAGTGCTACCATTTGAAACCTGACACAGGTACACAAAAAGGTTAAAGCAAGTAGTTTTGCAAAACTGGAGCATGTGTTCAAACATCCTTGGATGTAAGGAGCCTTCTTCTCACTGTTTCAATTGTTTTCCCTCAGTTGCTACTCACACTCAAACACACTATGATAAATCTCTTCAGAATTAGTTGTATATACTTATTTTTAGGAACATGACCAGCAAGACTTACGTCTGAGGTGTCTGAAGACCCATCTTGTTGTTATCCTGCACTCTCAGTGCCATCATAGATTGTCGACTGCTGCTTCCAGCAATACTTGAGCTTCGCCTCATTGTGACTGCTGTAAACCACAATCCCTCAGTATTCCAGCAGTATCAGAAAATCCGGGACCTAAGGGTATTTTCTTTTCTAAATGCCACAACAATTTTCCAAAGGCTTGGAATAAACAAGTAGACCTGTACATCAGACCAAAAAGAAAGAAGAAAGAAAAAAGATTTTGTTAGACTCTGGAAATATGTAAGAGCAGCTACAGTCTTTTAAATCAACCGTTTTATTGATAAAAGTGTCAGTGCTTGTTCCAAACCTACTGTTTTGCCTTTCTTTATATTTGGTCACTTCAAACCTACAGGTTCCAAAAGCAAAAGAGCTTGAGAAATTTTTCATTTCAGTCCACTGGGAGAAAGGCCACATTACCACGAGTACACAAGTACTGCTTACAGCACTTAAGCCATACATCAGCTCCTGAGATGCTCATTCTGAGCCTACCCATTCCTCTGCAACTGATCTCCCAGTATTATAGCACAATAACTGGAAAACCTGTTCTGAGGTAATATTATGGCTCTCTTCAGACTATGCATGCAGACTATAAACCAAACTGGAATATTAATACCATTGTCCCCACTGTGGCATTAAGGGGGAATTTGAAGTAAACAGAACTCATGAAACATTAAGTCACAAAAAAAATGCCAGCTTCTGCCCTCTACAGAGGGCTTCATCCCTCTACTTTATTTGTGGGATGGGATTAAATGACTGAATTATAACTGATAAAAACACCCTCTATTACAGATATTATACCAAACATATTATTAATATAAACTGTTGCTTCATTTTGCTTCCAGTTCCACTGCTCACAGACCACAACAGAAGTTTAGCTCAAGCTCAATTCATAGGGCAGCATTTCTCACTGTATCTGGGGAAGAATCTGCATTATTCCATTACTTTAACTGGGACCAACCACAGAGAGGATGAACTTTCACAATCATAGCAAGCAATTAGCTTCTAGAATAACAGAATCAATTAGGTTGGAAGAGACCTGTGAGATCATTAAGTCCAACTCATGACCAAACACCACCTTGTAAGTGAGACCATGGCACTAAGTGCTACATCCAGCCTTTCCGTGGACACTGACTCCACCACCATGCCGGGCAGGTGTGGTGGTTGTTGGAGCAAGCTTAACACACTCATTCACGACAGCAGTCCATTCCAGTGTATAATCGCCTTTTCTGTGGAGGAATTCCTCCAAGTCTCCCAGCAAAGCCTGGTGCAGTTTGAGACCGTGTCCTCTCGCTTGTTGCCTGGGAGAAGAGGCCGACCCGCACCCGGCTATAGCCCTTTCACAATCATAGCAAGCAATTAGCTTCTAGAATAACAGAATCAATTAGGTTGGAAGAGACCTGTGAGATCATTAAGTCCAACTCATGACCAAACACCACCTTGTAAGTGAGACCATGGCACTAAGTGCTACATCCAGCCTTTCCGTGGACACTGACTCCACCACCATGCCGGGCAGGTGTGGTGGTTGTTGGAGCAAGCTTAACACACTCATTTACGACAGCAGTCCATTCCAGTGTATAATCGCCTTTTCTGTGGAGGAATTCCTCCAAGTCTCCCAGCAAAGCCTGGTGCAGTTTGAGACCGTGTCCTCTCGCTTGTTGCCTGGGAGAAGAGGCCGACCCGCACCCGGCTATAGCCTCCTTTCAGGTGCTTCCAGAGTGATAAGGCTCCCCAGAGCCTCCTTTTCTCCAGGCTAAACACCCCCAGCTCCCTCAGTCACTCCTCACAGGACTTGTGCTCCAGACCCTTGCCCAGCTCCGCTGCCCTTCCCTGAACACGCTCCAGCCCCTCAATGAATTGCGGGGCCCAGGACTGGCCACAGCACTGGGGGCGCGGCCTCACCGCTGCCGCGTACAGGGCTCTGTCACTGCCCTGGTCCTGCTGGCCACACTGCTGCTGACATAAGCCGAGACGCTGTAAGAGCAGAGATTTAAGATCAGTTTGCCAGAGTCAACACGCCAGCGGGAAAAAAATAGGAAAGCGTAGGAGTGCGGCAGAGCTGGACGCAACTCCGCCCGCTCGCCCGGAGAGCGCGTCTGAACCCTACCGAAGGCGACCGGGGGGACTCAGCAGCGAGTCCGCAGTCCGGGACTCACCGCCGCCGCACGGACACTTGTCCCGGGGCGAAGGTGAGTGAGAAGTGAGAGGTGAGGGTGTTGCTGCCGCTGCCCTCCCGCTCCCCGCCCTGCCGTTACCGCCAGCGCCGCCGCCGCCGCCTCGTCGCAATTTCAAATCCGCCCGCCCGGACGTCGCCCAGAGCGCCACACGGAACTGCGTCACGGCCGGGCCGCGGGCCAGCAGCGCGGCGGGCGGGGACGAGGGGCGCTGGGAATACAGGGAGGAGGAGCGGTGGAAAGAGAGGGAAGGAGGATCCCACCCCCCGGAAGGGCCGTGCCCGTACGGCGACTGGTTGTGCCCGCGGTGAGTGTGTGCCGGGCGCTGCTTTTCTCCAGCGCCGAGAGTTTTCCTAGGGAAAAGCCCGAGCTCTCCGTCCCGGTGTGCCGCCGCGGGGATGGGAGTCGGCGCTCGGCCTCAGCAGCGCTGGGGCCGTGGCTGCCCCTGCCCTTGTGCCTGTATTACTGCGTCCGGGTGCTGTCTTAGTGATCCATGTCTCTATATGTAGATATATACAGATAAATATATAGATATACGTGTGTGTGTGTAGACACAGTGTATGCACATATATATAGCGTGTATATATGCGTATATGTGTGTGTTTATGTGTGAATATGTATAGCGTGTGTGTATATATAGTGTGTGCATATATATAGTATGTATATAGTCTATATAGCATGTGTGTAACGTATGTAGTAAAGATATGTAGTGTAAATGCATGTATATGTGGTGTGTATACTGTGTATAGATATACACACATGTCATATAGTGTTAGATGTAATTGGTGTGCCATAGGGCTGTTTTCTGACTTGTTCAAAAGAGTAAGTGCATACCGTGTAAAAGTATAAAAAGCCGTGTAAAATTTAGTTACTATAAAGAAAGTAGTGGTATAGGGATGAACGTAATGGGGAAATCACCTGAAGTCAGAAGGTGTAGCAGTGTGCCCTGTGTGTGCATGGAAATGTCTGTCAGAAGGTAGGTGCTAATTTATGAAACGGTGATGATTCTGTAAAGTGAATTCTTATAAAAATTCCCACAGGAGGAGGTTGCTCCAGGAAGGGCAAATGGTTGGTGAAGGCTGTGGTTTAAGGGAGCTGATTTTTCGGCCTGAAACGGGGACTTACGATGTCCGTGGTACATCGTCTGACAGCGGGATGGCTTGTGGATCATCTCTCTTTCATCAACCAGTGTGGCTATGAGATCTGTGACTCCTTTGCACACCCTGGTGGTGTCACTCGCAATACTTCTGTCACATCTACTGAAGACTGTCACAGTATTTCTACTTTTGCTGCCACCCCCTCATCAAGCGACGGTCCTTCTTACGGTCCTGGAAATGCCCTAGAAACAGAAGGTAAAAGAGCAAAAAAGAGATACGTGTTTCGGGAGGAGTTCTTTGATATTTCTAAGCCCCATATAGCTGCAGCTCCTGAGGAGCAGCTGTGTCAGGGATGCCCTGAGGTGAGTCTGACAGAAATAAAGACCAACAGCAACAAAGAGGAATACCAAGAAGGAGCAAAGAGTGACATTGGAGATTCTCTTGCCACTGCTAGGAAGGTATGTTATCTGTAACATAATAAATTACAGTAATCTCTTGATAAATAATATACTACTAATGTTATTTTGCATACCTAAGTCTTTTTAGGTAGTGTAGAAGAGTGGGAACTTTTGAGAATATTCCTGTGTCCCTCATGTCAGTAGTGTGCATTCTGTGTCTCATAAGCAGTGGATTGCTCCTAAAATGTCCTGACACTGGTTGTGGTCAGGTACACAGTCTGAAGATGTGGTAGCTGTTGAGATTGTGCAGATTAGCAAGTTGGGAAGGACAGTATGAATTTACTTTCAGTGTTGTTCACTACTGTTCCATATGGACAAAAGAAAATAAGAGTCACTGGTCTAAACCAATAAATGTAATCATGAAGACATAGTTAATTTTTTTCTTTTATTGGTAAATTGCACTTGGCAGCAGAAACTTTTAGTATGGGCCCACAGGAGGCATGAGCACAAACTGTGCACTAGGTACCTTCAGATCCTAGTGCCATGAATAATTTAAAACAGCTTCAAGCCTATGTACCTTGTGAAAGTCTGCAGCAGGTTAGGTATTTTCAGATCTTTTTGCTTACTTGACTTGTACTTGTGATAGAAAAAGAGATGGAAACTTTGTTCTGCTTTTAAAGAGTTCATTTGTAATTCAGGTATGTTTGATTTCTTTTTGCCTTTTATTTCATTGTGGAGTGATACGGATTTTGTTGTTGTTGGTTTTTGCTAATTCTGCAGAAACGTAAAAGGAAATGTGTATTCAACCAAGGTGAACTGGATGCTTTGGAATACCATTCAAAGGTAAGTTGGAAAAAAATGTATATTTTGTAAGTACTGCTATTTGAATTTGGGCATGCAGAGTGGAGGGCATGGTTGCAGACAAATTCTGGTTTTGTAGCTTGTTCCACTGGTGAAAAGAAGGAAAGGAAAGTCAATCTCTCCAATCCTTATTTGAATTTGTGCTTACAGCATATATCTTCTATGTAGATACACGTGAAATTGCATCTGAGATATTACAAAGAGCTGGAAGCTGCATTCACAAAGTAACTTGGACTGTTGAGACAGCTGGACATTGTGTTGTGATGAGCTGACTATTAGAAATTGGCTGATTTGAAATTGGCAGCGTAACCTGTTCTGAAGATCAGTTCCTCAATGTTTCAGGACACTGTGCTGGAGTTACTTAACACTTTTGTGACCAAATGTGCTTCAAAATGTCTTATTCTGCAATTGAAAAAAAAATTTAATTCTCTAACATTTCATATTGTCCTACTAAAACATTATGAATGAAATGGAATTCAAGTCTGTATGCTTATGTCAGTTGTGTACTGGTGAAGATAAAACTGAATTACATTGAAGCATAGTAGTAAATTGTAGAAGTGCAATCTGTAGGTAATTTTTTATGTATTCTTACTGCTTTCCCAAGTAGTGATGTGAACCTGAACTAGGAGCTATACTTGATTCCTTTCTTTTGACAAAGGTTTAGTCATATTGGGCTTTTTGCTTAAATCTGTTCCGCTTGAACTACATTTAGATGACTGCGCTTTTTTTCTTTTATATGGTAACATCTTGTAGTAAACATGTGCAGCTTGCTGATACAGTGTAGGGGTCCTGTGGTTATCACCTTAAACGAGAAAACTTTGAAGTTCAGCATCAACATGGGTTTGAAAATGCTAAGCCTACAATAAAATCATTCAACAATAGAAATAAGGAAAGAAATTAAGATAAGAAGTTTGATGCCTTGGAGGCCTGTGTAACTTTGGTGATATTTGGTGAATATGTAGAAAAGACAGAGTTTGAAAAAATCTGTGACTCCAGTTAGCGTTTTATATCATCCACAGATTAGAAAGTATTGGGTTTTTATTATATTTGTATTATTAAAGGTTATAGCTCTGCAAGTTAACCCAGATTATTTTGGCACTTATTTATATCTGTACATTCATCAAAAATAAACCCAAGCAACTGCAATTTTTTGTTTTTGCAAGTGAATCTGTGAATTTCAGCTGTTGAATCCATTTATGAATTTCAGTCAGTGTCAACATAGGGAACAGTACAAAATATGCTAAATTCCTTCAGCAGCGATTTGTTAAATCTCCTGCTTTGATTGCTTCATAGTCAAGAGACTTTGTCCACTTTGTCTACCTGTGACTTAACACATGCATGTAAGAACGTATAATTTCTGAAGATAAAGTTTATTAATTCTGTTGAAGCAGTATGAACTTTTTTTATCACAAACCTAGGTATTAAAAATGTATGACTCTGTACTCTCTGGTATCTAGAGGTGGCGCTATTAAATTATAAAAAAAAGCCCTTTTTCTTCCTCTTTCACTAAGCTGGGAATTGTAATAAAGTGCATTTTGTAAAACCCTCTTGTAATCTTGAAGATTCTGTAATCAGAAGCTTTTGAAACCACAGTATCATGGCTTTTTACAGGGGCTTTAAGAAAGCTCCTGTTATTGACAATGGACAAATGGATAAACCCACCTCACTGACAATCAAAACTCATAAAGGCTCCATGATTTGGAAATAAAATGGGTCTCTAAATTTTGTGAAGGGGAGGTGCTGACTCCCCAGCAGGTGAATGACAGTGTATATACATCCAAGAATCGTGTCATCCCAGACTGACTAACAGGCTATTTGAGATGTTTGCCACTTAGGAAAGCTGCAAAAATTGAGTTCTGATATTTTAATTTGATTTACTGATTGTGCTTCTGTATGACTGTAAAATGCATAAACTGTTGTTTTATGAAGTGAATTGAAATGTGGAAAATGATTTTTAGATTCCAGTATACATTTCAATTAAAAAGATGTTCATGGGCACAGTAACTTGAAATTAAATTAGAATTTTAAATTAAAGTTCTGATAATTGCTTTGAAATTTGTGTTGGGTTGAAACAATGATATTCCGTGTCTGTTGTCTGAAATGTTTTATTCAGTAGTTTCTTGCTCTTTCTTTCTCCAGCCTTCTAATTATTCTAACTTTACCAAAAAATGAAAACCAACAACAGAAGTTAGCATGTTGTCCTGGTTTTGGCTGGGATAGAGTTAGTTTTCTGCTTGGTAGCTGGACAGCTAATGCAGAGTTGATGGAGTGGGAGTGCTGCAAATGAAAAATAAACCTTTTTTTAAGATTTCTAAAAAGCCCCAGAGTTAGCGTATTGGATGCTAAAGGTAGATGTGTTGCCCAAATGTCTGCACCCAGCTGCAGCTGCTTTGTCCCTTCCAGCCTGGTCAGGATAGATCAAAAAACATCAAAGATTCTCATTTTGGGTTTAGCAGGAGGATAGTGTTGACAGCAACAGTTCAAACCTCAGTGTGTTAAGCCGTGCTTACCCCAAGTCAAGGAGTTTTCAGTTTCCTGTGCTCTGCCAGCAAGCAGGTACACAAAGGAAGCTGGGAGGGAACACGGCCAGGACAGGTGACCCAAACTGGCCAGAGGGGTATTCCATGCGTAGGATATCATGCTCACTATATAAACAATGGGAGTTGGCCAGGAGCCATGGATTTGCTACTAAGGGATAGGCTGGACTTCAGTCACTAGGTGGTGAGCGATCTTGCTGTGCATCAGTTGTTTCTCTTGGACCGTACTTCTCTCTCTCTCCCACTTTTCACTAATAAAAATAATGATAATAATCTTTTAGTTTCAGTTTTTAAACTGATCTTATAGTAGCCCATGAGGTTTGCTTTTTCCCTTGGATTCTTCTCCCCACCAGGGACTGGGAGGCATGTGGTGTGAGCGAATGGCTGTGTGGTACTTGGCCAATGATCTCAGTAATTGGCAAGAATCCTTTTCCCTGCCTGCAGATTGAAAATGTTCTGATTTCAGTTGCATTCCCTGGTCAAGTAGATACTTGAAAGATTTTTTTTTTCTTTGTTTTTTTTTGTGTCACCATACAGGTCAGGAAGCTCATTTGGGAAGGGACTTTACATTTAGTCCAAGAGGGACTCAAAAGTGGTTTTCTTCACCGTAAGACTGCAAAACTCAGTTGCAGGAAAAATAATGTTCCTCAGCACGTTGTCTGTGGCTTGGCTGAATTATGTGAAATGGCAAAGCAGTTTCCAGCTGTGAATGAAAGTGACCATCAAGCTGTATGTGTGCTAGAGGAGGAAACCTCCAGTGCAGAGCAGGACCTGCTTTCATGTGTTATGGAAAACAACTCAAACTCTGCAAAGATAATTGTGTTAATGGGGCAGAAATACTTGGTGCCACCAAAAAGCAGTTTCCTCTTATCTGATATTTCATGTTTACAGCCCCTGCTGAACTGTAAGTATCTTTAGGTGTTAGAATTTACCCCTTTTCTCCTGCCCAAGAAAGGCACTTAGTGTCAAGATAACTCAATTAACAGATTTTAGCATAAAGCATCTCACTGATAGCAAATGCTGCTGCAGGCTTTCAAGGTGATATTTCTAAATTCGTGAAAACAGGTAAGGACTTTCAAAGGAGTCTTGAGTGGTTAGGAAATCATGTCATGAGAGGATTATTTATCTCCAGGAGGCTCCTTTAAAAGTCTCAGCCAAAATACAGCAGTTTGTGACCATGTTCTGAGCCACTGTCAGCATAGAAGTCACATAAACACGTTGAATTGGGACTAGCTGTGCTGCTGGGTCCCTGTCCCACAGGATGAGCCTTTAGCATAGGTAGGTCCGTGCTGCTGCTGAAGTGGTGGTCCTGGTTTTTAGCTAGATTAGACCATGGGGGAGGGATGAGATAATGCACCATAAAGCAAATGTTCACTTACAGACTCATCCTGTTCAGTGGCAGGGTCTTTTTAGATTGGAATAAACTGGTTGTGGAACAAAGCCTAGTATCCCCCAGGGAAGATAACAGTTTGAGAGGCTGTTGCACCCGGGTGGAGGGCAACACTACTTTAGCAAGACCTCCAGTAGCAAACATGACTTGACTTTTCAGCTGCTGTGTTTCACAGCTGAGAGTATTGGCTTATGCAGAAATTAGTGACAGGGAAATGAGGGGATTTTAGAATAATCAAGTTCTCTGTTTAAGTAGATCAAAAGCTATCCAAGGCACTATCCTCAGCCCTAAGCTGACAGCATGCATCAGTCTTCAGTGCCATTCCATTAGCTTTCAAATTGGCCTTCATTACTATTATTTTTATCACTATCACTCACAGCTAGGCTTTATCAGACACTCTTACAGGAAAGATGTTGCCTGTGAGCAAGAGCTGGGCATTACTGCTCTACCTTCTAATCGGTAATTTTAGATTTTTTTAATTGCACATGAGAAGAGAGGAAGGATATGTAATTTAGACATTATTTTTTTAAATTTTGTTTTTTATTAAGAAGACATTCAGCAGGTAGAATCTTACTATCTAAATAATAATTTTGCATTTGAAATCCAAAATCGGGCTAGCTACCTTATCTGTAGGAAAGAAAGATTATTATCATTCTGCTATCACTCTGCACAGTGGAGCATATAAGATTCTCCAAGGAGTTACAGAGCAGTCCAAGAAATCTGAGCAAATGCTTTTGAAATAAACAACAGTGAATGCTAACATAATGCCCTGACTGTAGACTTTTTTTTTCTGAGTAGATCTGCTGTGCATTTTAATTATTATTTTTCTTCTTCCCTTTCACTTGCCAAAAGAGAAGTAATTCTTGCTGGTCAGTCCACTGTAAGGATAACACCTCCGATGTTAAATGAATAATATGTAGTATGTAATATTGTAATCACATTTCATGAACATCAAATACTAAGCTGTTGTTCTTATCATCAGATTCAATGAAAGAACAAATATGTTCTCTGGAGAAATAAAATTGGGGAGTTCTGTTTTTTCATGGATGTGTTCTGTATCTTCTATCCTCCAGCTGAAGTAAACTCAGCTTCTCCTATGAAAACTCTTTTGGTTCTTTTGTTCATTGATTCCCATTTCACACGCTATGTCTAGCTATCTGTCTCTCTTTACCTCCAGTAGTGCAAAACGGTTTTCTAGGGCTGGCTTGAAGCTCTGCATGTCCCTGTTGGCCTGACAAAAGATCAAACAGGGCAGGAATCTTGCATTCAGGGCTGTAGCTTTTCACTCAGCTGGGTGCCTTATTGCATAGCTTCTGTTGGGAAACTTGGAAAATTTTTTATTTTTGAGACTTGCACTCTGCTATCCATTTTTTCCCTGAAAGTCCTAAAGATACTTAAAATTTTTTGGAGGGATCTGACTCAGACCACATGAAAGTCCTTTCCTTAGGTAATCAGCCTAAAAATATTGAATTTTCTGGATATGATTATCTGAATTAAAACAAGCATGTCAAAAGTCTTTTTGACATGCTTTTCTTATTTGGAAAGAGCAGAAGAAATTTGCAGGTTTGATATATATCTGTTTTAACTCATAGATATTTTTAAAAGCTACTTTACTGATTTTTCTTTTTTTTCCCCTTCATTTCACTTGCCAGACAAGAAAAAATATGATATTATTGTGATTGATCCACCATGGGAGAACAAGTCTGTTAAAAGGAGTAACAGGTATGTTTTATAGTAAAATCAAACAACCTTTGTCATCGTAGCTTACAAAGGGTAATTAACATTTAATGTATTGATCCAATCCAGGACCAGTATAACTGTGAGACTCTAGCTCAAATTTATAAATATTTTCACACATGCTTACCTTCAAGTCTGTGGACTGTCTTAGGTATTTCACTGAAATGTGTTGGATACTTGGCATACAAGATATTTGCAAGAGTAGATCTTAAATTATCTAGCTGGTGAGAGAATGTTAGCCCTTTACAAAGAAAGTATGGATTCAGCTGTTCTGTAGGGCCCAGGTCATGCACATATTAGTTTGTAATTAATAGGGTTACTTCAGTGGACATAAAGCTAGATAAAGGTGTAAGTATTTCCAGGACTGAAATCTTGCTCAGAGGTTTAAGTGCATTTTTATTTAATTTGAGGTGTAACTTAAGCTTCAGTCTAATGCTTAGAAGAACATGATAATGCAGCAGTGAAATCCTCTAGTGCAATGGGAACTCTGAGTACTGTAGCTTATGAAGTTATTGACTTAAATTTTTATGGGCTTCCTTCACTGCTGAGTAACATCATGTTTATGCAAGTGGAGTCCTCTTGATTACCATAGAATTGTATCTCTTAGAAAGAAGGGTAGACAGGAAATACGGTCTTGCAACTTTCTAGAATGAAGTTCGCTGTGGCTTTTGATGCTTATTATGAAGACATAATTTGAAGATGTAGAGACTGATGTGTAGTCTTTCCTTTGAAAGCCCTTCAGAAACCTCTATAAACTCTCATTCAAATGAGACATTTCTCATTCAGAAATGTCTTTCTTGAGTATATAAGTTACTCAGAGAATAATTGTAGTTATGAGCATAAGTTAGTCACCAAGATCCTTTCTCCCTTATGAAATAAAGGCAAAGAGTGGAGGAGCTATCACTGCTCATAATTATCTTGTTGGCAGCTAATCATTGTGAAGCATTTCTCATGTAGGTGAATATTTTCTCCTATAGACCGTCCAGGGGGTATTTGGATTTTATCCTTGTTCACTGTTTCTCACTGTAGTAGCATTGTTTGAGGTCCTGGCTACCCCCACGGTGGCTGCCGATTTTCATTAGGCAGTGTGCCAGTAATTTTGGTGCTGCAATGTGTAGGTTCCATGAGCTGCAGTTTATTGATAGTGTAGAATTGCATCATGAAAAAAAATGGTAGAACAGGACAGGATCTGGAAAGCATCCGGAATTCACCAGTGTAGCTTTCAGTTAGCTCAGAAAAGTGCAGAATGTGTTTGAATAACCTAGAAAACTTCTACCACAGCTGATAATTTAAAAAAATGAACAACTTGTGAAAATAATTGGAGAAGTTATTATCTCTAATGACCTCTTCACTTGCCATTCAAATTAGTGTGACTCACTTGTCATTTTCATTCAGAAGAGAGTTTATTATGAGAAGTGAATTGTATTACTTTGCCTAAGAAGCTGCTGTTCACTAAATAGCTTTGCTCTGGCACAAAGATGAGAATATTGAGTTACATCTGATAATTCTTAAATGAAACATGGGCTTCTACACTTCAGAGTCACAACTAATAATGCTTTATTTTGAGAGATAGTGGAAGTACGTAGTTCACGGTTCTGCTCAGTAAAACTTATGTACATACACTAATGATTTTGTATAAAATCTCTCAGAATTGTCCACTGGGTGTCAGTCTTGAACTATTTTTATGACAGATTGTCAGGAGGTAATTCTTGAAGTGACTGGTCTGTGTAATTTTTTAATCCATTTGTTCTGCTTTGCAATTTTTATGGTTGGTATATGCTAATTTGCTTTCTCACTTTATTGGCATAGGTACAGCCACTTGTCTTCATGGCAAATCAAGCAGATTCCTGTACCAGCACTAGCTGCTCCAAATTGTCTTGTAGTCACGTGGGTGACTAATAGACAGAAGCACTTACGTTTTGTTAAGGATGAACTTTATCCTCACTGGTCGGTGAAAACACTTGCTGAGTGGCACTGGGTAAAAGTAAGTTCTTAATTTATTTTGTTGCTTTCTTGGAGACTGAGTAGACTTGCACTGTAACACTTTGTTTTCTTCTAATTTGTCTATTTACTACCATTTGCTTTGGTATTTGAAAGCTGTAATACCATTACTATCCTTCTTTTTATAAAGGAAAAGGTCTTGGAACATTATGGGATATTAAAATTTTCTGCTGTATATTTTTAACTCTCTTGTGTCAGATTACTACAGCTGGAGAATTTGTGTTGCCTTTGGATTCTTTGCACAAAAAGCCCTATGAAGTTCTCATATTGGGGAGAATTCAAGGAGAGGTAAAGGAAGCCTTAAGGTATGTCAGGCTATTTATGGTAAATGTCCTTTTTTTTGCAGCTGCTAGGATTCCCTTTATATGTATCACTTACTCATAAGGCAATATAATGTCCCAAAATATTTTGGTTGATTGTGGACCTAAAGATAGCCTTATTAGCTTTGGAGTAAGGGAGTGCCTTGGTGAGACTAAAGAATGGAACCCCCTGACTGTTCCTGCATCTGCTGTCTTGAGAAACTGTCTTGGACAAAAGCCTTGTGGAGAGGGCTTCCTTTGCTGACAGGTTCTCTTGGACCACAAGTCCTTTGCACAGGCTGATGCCATTTTGGGGATACTGCTGTTGTTCCACATGTTCCATGACGTGCAGGACTGCATTGTTTGTTCTCAGTGGCTTTGCATGGCTGTTGTAAACCATGTTTTGGCCAAAGCCTCAATGATTGCATAAACTGTCATTTTGTATATTATGTCTGAGCAGCATTTAACTTTCCTTGGACTTCCCTGAAGTTTGTGAATGAACACTCTGTGTGTTATCTCCCATCTCAAATAACTCTGCAAGAGCTGTAGCATCACATTGGGTTAACATTAATTCAAATGTTTCTTTTATTTTCTGATTTATATGACAGGAAATCTGAAGGTGTTCTTCCAATTCCAGAGCATCAGTTAATTGTCAGCATACCCTGCAGTCTGCATTCACATAAACCTCCTCTTGCTGGTATGTTTTAGTTTTTTCACCTAATGTTTCTGTAGCACAGTGATCTTGAATTCCTCATTATGGGATGTACCTAGAAATGCCTTAATTTCCCATGTGTCAAGCAATTTTACTCAACAGAACTTGTGGTTCCTCTAAAAGTCTTCTGAAGCATCTCAGAAAATTAATGTGAAAATTAATGTGAAAACTAGAACTTCAAGTAGTACTGTGTGAACATTTTGGGTAGACGCAGAAAAAATGTTGCCTTTTTCAAAATTTATCTTTTAAATGCTGCAAGACCAGTTTTACAGATACTTCATATATGAAGTTGTGACAAATGACCTAATTTACCTTGTGAGGGAGAGAACTTTGGGAATACATAAAATAGGAAAGCAGAAACATTTCATCCTGAAATAAGTGTTTACATATCTGCATTAATAGATTATATGCCTGCAGTACAATTATGCCTTTAAATCCAAAAACGTAACTATTTTAAGACTGCTAACAAGAGGCAAAAAATCAGGCATGCCCTGCTTGGTTCTGAGGAGCTGTATTTCACTCACTGAAATTGATGCAGTAATTCCAGCCAGCCAGTTAGTGGGGGTATAAATTCAACTCTTTAGAACTAGTCCAAAGAATTGTTCTGGAGCACTTCTACTGATTTTGTCAATAGGAAGTGGTACTTCTTTCATCATTACAGCACCGTAGAGCTTAACAAGTCTGTGGTAAGAAATATGTTTAATACCTCTAATAAAATAGATTTCATCCTCCACCAAGGGGGAAGCTCATGATGAGACTGCAAATATTCCAGGTGTTTTATATTCACATCAGAAAAGGCAGGTAGAAGAAATGTTTAATGCTCTTGGAGAGGAGAGGTGTCACACTTTGCTTCACTGATATGCTTTCCTTTTTCTCTTCCCAAGAGGTAGAAATTCTTTTGATCTGAACAATTGTTGTACCTCCAGGGATGCTCTAACATCTGTGTTTGGGGGCTTGCATTTATTAAATTGCCATATATGTATATATCTACATATACACACACCCCCTTGTTAAAAACCTAGTAGGAAGGATATACTTTGGTTAGCTAAAAAATAGAAAAAAAAAAAGAAGGGCAGTTCTAGGAGGATCTTTGTGCCATCCTGAAGCCCCATCTTCAAGAATTAGGGCTACAGCAGGGGTCATATGTGTTGATTTAAGCTAGTGAACAGTGGGGTCGTTATTTATGAGGCTGTCACCTAGGGTCTCTTTAGCAAGCCAATACTTGGCAGCAAACTTGGACACAAACAGGAAACTTGTGAGGTATCCAAGGGTGCAAACCAGCAGTTTGGATGTATTACGGAAAATATTAGTGCAACAGTGGTCCATATTGGAGAATACTTTGTAAATTATCACTCTGACTGGACTTCGAAGGAAACTGTCCTTCCTAATTTCTTGTGTGTATTTCTTGAGTCTTTACTTGAGTGATGGGATTTGATAACATTGTGCAGCATTTACGTTTGTCTTTGAAAAAATGAACTTGCTGTGGAGCAGTATGAATTATTTAAAAGGTTTTTGTGAAGATCCACGTATAACCTACAGGGTTTTTTTTGCAGGTCTGTGCAGAATATGGTTATGTAATGAAAAGGTAGACCATAAAGCAAAAACTGATTGCTGATGCTTTGACTTCTGTGCTGTACAAGCTGTTGCTTTCATGACCAGGCAGTATTCTCAAGCAGCCAGTAGAGAGCAGCTGAGCTACATCCTAGAGAGGGGTTCAGAAGAAATTTGAACAGAAGCAGAGATTTGGCAAGGGAGGAGAAGGACACTTGATGAGTCACACACATTCTTTATGCTTTGTTTAAGTAGTAACAAAGCCAAAAATATTAGTATTTACTGATGCTGTCTGGCCCTTTGTTTCTTATTACAACAATAAAGGTTGTATGTTGGTACATATGTAGCCACTTAATGACTGATTATAAGAGTTTATCTCTCTGGGGGAAGAGAAAGATGTAAATTAAAGTAAGCCATCAAAAAGAGATGTTTGTGTTCCTACAGTGCATTTAACCATGAAATTGCAACTGTAGGGGTTTTTGGTGATGCATGTGCTGTGTTCAGTGCTTAGAGCTCTAATATGTCATTGTAAATGTATTTAAGCTGCTTTATGCAAATGTGTTAAAATCAAATTTTATTACTCCAGGTTTTGATTCACATAACAGCAGGTTTTCTTCCTAATTCAATTCAATGGTGCTCTTAGAGGGCAGAAAAGATACTGTGTTACAGATATGTATGAAGTTCTACATAACTTCACAAGACCTTTTTTCCTTTTCCTGTATTATAGATTGTTCTTGTTACAGCCATTGCTTTTCTAGTTTTTAAGTATATGCATTTATTGTTAGAAAAGGATACTGTTGTGTAGACTTTGCCTGAAAGCAGTGGAATTAATTCTTGGCTATGTTCTAACCAATTTGCATATATTCAGCAGAACTGTGCAATGAGGAGTCATGGGAGGTCCCCCCTCTGTAGCAATGATGGTTTATCAGGCCACGTTATAAAGATTTTCTTGGAACTAAAAAAAAATTAAAAAAAGAACTAAAAAAAAGTAAATGCCTTTTGTTTCCTTATGGGCATTGTGAGCTCTTGCAGTAAGATTAATTGATTGGTACATCAGCATCTAGGTTTAACTTGAAGTTCAGGAAGAATGCAGCGCAGATCTTTGAGCTGGATTTCAGATAATTTTCTGGTCCAGGGTTTAGACAAATTGGGCAATAAGAACCTCTACGTTGCAAACTCTTTTGAAGGGTTATTTTAAACTGAGATAACTTGTGCTTTGTGCTTTGCATGGCACACTGATCAGGCAGTGAAAAAGCAGACAGTTATTTTCACTTTATATATCCAATTTGTCAATGAACCTGCTTTTTAGGCAGTGGAAGTTAAAAAAACAAGGAGAAACTGTTGCTTGTTTCAAAGATAATTCTTTAGCTCATTTAAACATTTTAGGAGCATGCATCTTCAGTCGTGTCTGGGATTAGGAGTATGCAGGTGTGTCAAGTCTCCTGCCTGGCCACTGGATTGTGATTCAGAATGAGATGGGTTTTCTGGAACTGTTGTGTCTGCCAGCTGGCTTTGTGCTCACTTCACATGTCCTAGGGCATTAGGTGCTCAAGTATCAGTATCTCAGTTGCTGTCATAGTGTTTGTGACACCTGTAAGTGATAAAGAATAGGCTGTTTATCATCTATTTAACCTGTTTCCTGTCAGTGGTATCTGTAAGTGGGTAGAAGTAATTGTGTTCTGGGTTTTGTTTTTCAATCTATTCGTGTTGTAGAAAAACTCAATACTTAATTTTTCTACTGATGGAACTCCTCTAAGCTGTTTTCAGATGAAAAAACCCCAAGGGTTTGCTTGAGCGCTGCAGATCAGATCCATGTGTCTTATGATAGCCTACTGGTAATGTAAAGGTCTAACAAAGAAGACATAATTTGTGACTTGAACACTGATTTTTCCTATTTGAAGGAAACCAATGTAATGAGATTTTAAGCCAACAAAATTCAGCTCTTTTGATATGGTAATTTTGTTGCAGTGCAAGTTACTGCCTGATGTGATTATGTAAATGCCTACAACCTAGCAATGAAGAATCATACTATAATGTGATCTCAAATTATATGTAATATGTCTTTTTTTTAATATGGTTGCAATATGGTTTTTTTTTAAAAAGCCCTCTAAGTTTAAAAAGATGCTGTCTCTGCCAGAAGGAGAGAGGGAGATTCCTGCGACTTCTTTTTTAAATTCCAGAACCAAATTGATAGAAAGACTGGCACACGTTTTGTGCTTCTGTTGAACTGATCAGTTTCTTGGCTACCTCTTTTTTGCTTTCTAGTGAACCAGTCTTTGAGGTTGGTTGAATCTCTGAAGTGTGCTTTTCAAATTTGCTCTTTTTAGTTTTTGGTGCCTATTAAAACTGCTTTGGATTACTGAACCTAATGCTATGATGATTATTTTTGACTTACGAGTTTTAGGATCTACCACCTCTGGGGGCAATCTGTTCAGTGTTTCAACACCCTCATTGTAAACAATTGTTTCCTTATATCTAGTCTGAATTCATCCTATTTTAGTTGAAAACCTTTATCCCCTGTCCTATTCCTGCAGGCCCTGCTAAAATAAGCTTGTTGCCTTCTTTCTTATAGGCCCCATCTAAGCATTGAAAAGCAACAGTAAGGTCTCTCTGGAGCCTTCTCATCTTCAAGATGAACAACCCCAACTCTCAGCTTGTCCTCCTAGGAGAGGTGCTTTGGCCCTCTGATCAAATTGTCAGCAAATTATGCACAAGAAGTTCTTATCTTAATGGAGCTGTGAAAAGAACAATAAATTTTACCACTTTTTTTATTGTGATGTGTTTGCAAAATGGTATTAAGCAACTACTCATAAGTGGTGTCTAATTAGATGAACACCCACGACACCAAACAGTGCATGAGTTTTCTGTCAGAACGTACATTTTCCTCTAAACTTCCCCGACTCTTCTCTGCAAATGCTAGATTTGTTTAAACATTTTATATTGCCTCTAAAAGAAGCAGGTTTTTGGAATAAGATTGCTTCTGGTAGCAGTATTTTTTAGATTAAAAGCTGCCTTCATGATAACTCATCTGAGACATTCATGTGACATTTGTTAAAGATTGGGGGAAGGCGAATAGATTTTTATCTTTTTTTTTATTTTTATGCCAAAACACAATAAAGCCTGGAAACACCCATTAAAAATATTTACAGAAAAGTTTTTAATATATTGGAGCTTTGGAGGAGATGATCATCCAGGAAGGAAATGCATCTTGGGGTTGGCTAACACTAGAAAGTAAAGTGGGTGCTCATATTTCTGCAACAGGAGCAGTCTGTGGCCTGATCAGCTGGAGTCTCACATAGGGCATCTGTGACTGGCAAACTTGATGCAAAAACTCAGTACTTGGATTGCACAAAAAAAAAAAAAAAAAAAAAAAAAAAAAAAAAAAAAAAATTTCCTCTCATACTTTGGTGTATGTTGACTGGATATATTTTTGCTTTCTGCAGTGATCATATCTGAAGAGACTGAGTGAAGCAGCAAAATGTTGACCTTATGAGCTGTATGTTTAAGTGACAGAGATTCAGAAATCACTGGCAGATCTGATCTAAAAATGACCAAAGTATCCTTTGGAAAGGGATATATTTCCATAATTTTTCTTCTTTTATCTTCATCAGCAAAACAAAAAACTTAACATGCAATTTTTAGTAGATAAGTTTTTCAGTCTTTCTGCTTTCTCTGTGTTGAGTGCTCCTTATGTTTTTGTACACAATGTTTTTGTAGCCATTTCATGAAACCTAGTTAAGGGGTTGCTCAAACCAGCCATAGACTAAATGGCTCTATATGACAAGTAACACATTTAACAATAAACTCTTTGCAGTAATACTTTTCAAGCAAAATGCAAGATCTTTTTCTATCACTCCAAGAATACCAGTCATGATCAGTGACACGGTTGATGTTAATGACAGGCGTCTTTATATTTGGATTTAGGCATTAAAAATGCCTAACTGCAAGAGAAATTTGAGATATATGTTACTGAATAACAGTAACAGGTATAGAAATATCTCTTCAGCTGCCAGATTGATATTGGGGGAGAAAATAGTTCCTGCATTTTTACATCCATTTTAGTGCTATACTTATTTAACTGGTGTAACTTTTAACAGTTGTCATTACAAAAATACTTTCATCCCCTTTAAGGTACAGAGGAAAAGAGAGTGTGCTCTTAATTAAGAAAAGGGTTTATGTATGTATGTATGTATGTATTTATTTATATAAGTATTGCCTCCATGTTATTGGAGCTAAGTGAGGCTTTAGGACGTCTTTGGTTGATATTAGTAAAAAAAATTCAGAACTCATCTATGTAGAGGCTGAAATAAATCCTCCTTCCCTTTTGCTAAATGAAAACCAATAAATCAAGGCTACTGAAAGCCTTGACAGTATTTTTCAGAATCTCAAGGGCATTTATTTAAGATTACTTTCTCACTATAAATAGTCCAGCTATTTGATGAAACCTCTGAAATTAATTTGCTGTCTCTCCCTTTTTTAATAAAACATTCATTTTTTTCATATGCTAGCATCACAGGGGAGGTTTTACTTTTTTACTGTTGTTATTTGTGCCATTGTCATTGTTGGTGTCTTCTTTTTTTTTTCTTTTTTCTCTTGCACAGCAGTTCTGGCAGAGTTTATCAAGCCAGATGTGGAATGCTTGGAGTTGTTTGCTCGCAACCTACAGCCTGGCTGGACCAGCTGGGGAAATGAGGTCTTGAAGTTTCAGCATATTGATTATTTCACTCTTCTGCAGAATGAAAACTGAGCAGGGTCTCATCTATACATCTATACCTTCTCAAATTCCACATCTTCCCAGGGGACTCTTGAACTTAGCTTTATTACTGATGGTGCACCTAAAGGTAATAGAAATAAAACCAATTGCATTTCAGAATTCTTTAAGTGACAAGATATTTGTTTAATGCTATCTCCCCTCCGTGCAAGGTGGTCCCTTATTTTGATGATCTGAACATATTTAGATACTGATGTTGTTACCAAAAATCAGTAAAGATAAAACTCCTTAACACCAGTGTAGCATTAAGAAGCAGGCATTCTTTATTTGCCCAGACACGAGGCAGTATCTTCTCTGAAATATTGTGTATACTGATTACAGAGAAAGCTCCTGTTTATATGCTGTATATTACATACATATTCATTGACCTTCCTGAATAACATATAGATGATATAATTTCCCCAAAGTCATTAACATTTGTTCCCTCCCCTTTGCACACATGTTCTTCTGTAACAGGGGTTTCTTTGGTGGTTCCTGGTGGTCAGCCACCCCAAAATCATATTTGACCATCCAGTGAACTGGTAATAAAAGTTGGCATAACTGGGCTGGTTACTCTGCAGTTTTCCTTCTTGGTCAGTGTTTAACATGACCCTAGAGAATAAGCCTTTTGTGGTTCTATAGGCTTGTGGTTTTTGAAGAATAATCATATTAACCCATCAGGTTAACATGGTGGGTTAAAACAATTTTTCATCTGCCAGCAATGTTAAGAGTGTAAGTTCATCCCTGTTCTTTTTCAAACCTCAAGAAAAGAAAGGTATTTTAAAGTATTCTCACTGCAGCTATCAAATCTGAGCTGATAGCACATTGCTGCTGCTGTTGTACTGTAGCTCTTATGCTATTTTTAAAGAATTATTATGTATTGTTTTACAAGAGTCAATGGAAGCAAACAATTCAGAATGATACATGTTTTCTTAAAGTTTTTTTTTTTTTGCAAAACAATGGATTTTAAACTAAAATAGTTATGAAGGCAGTGCATCTTCCTACATATTTGTATGTGTTTGTCTGCCTCAGAGAAAATAAAAGGAGCAGTGCTTATATTTACTGGCACATGAATTCTTGACTGACCATATTCTATGTAAAATTATACTTTTAAAACAATTGATAATTCTGTCTTTGTGTATATTAATTTTTGAACTACATTGTAAATGACAGTTTCAACATATTAAAAATTCTGAAATTTTAACAGATTATATGTATTTTTTAAAAGATTCTTTCATTATGTTCTGGCACATTATAAAGCCATGCCAGTGAGCTGTATTTTTCAGCTAACCAAAAAATGATCCTTAAAAAAATTAAAGAATTGTACACTTTGTGTATCCTTTGCTGTGCTTAGATTTACTTTGAAAAATACAAAGAAAATGTAATGAGGCCTCTGCCACTTACTCATTTATAGCAGTAGAGGCAGAGGTGCTGGACAGACTGATTTTCCTGATGGCAGGTTCCTGAGTTCTGACTGTTTGTAATGGAGAGCAAAATACATTGCCTAACTTCTTTACCTTCATTTCCATTTTGGGAGCCTGGTGAGCTGTGAAGATTTTTTTAAGTTAAACTTCAAATGTTAGCAGAGTATTTTTTGATAATTTTGTAATAAAGATGAAAATAAAAACTCATGTCTTATTTGCAGTTTCTCTATTACTGTTCAATTCCATGTTTTGCCTATTGGAGCAGTGGGGTTAATAAAACAAGGAAAATGCTTTTTTCTTCCTTCTCCAACAGTTAAACATATACTCAAAATAAGTAAATAATGTAAAAGTGGAAGTAGTTATCTAGGAAAACGTTTCTTGCTGCATAATTTTATTTAGTCTGTGTTTTAAACTGTCAGTATATAAACAGTCTTACCTACAGCTACAAGGGGTAGAAAGTTCTTTATTTGCTTTTAGTTTTAGAAGATATTCCCTACCTGGATCTTCTGCTTTCCCAGTCCGAATTCCCCTGCCCTCCCAAGATGCTCTCATCCAGTGCTAAATGATGTATGGGACTCAAGCATGGAATAAATGATAACTGCTGCACTTATCTTGTTTTCTCTTTGTACTCTACAGAAAAGCACAAGAAATGACAATGTTGTCTGTTCCACATCCGCTGCTATGAACAACTCCAGATTATCTTTTTAATTCCAACTAAAAGAAAGATGAACAATCTTAGAGATCAAGAAAGCACTTTCTCCTTTGAGCTAAGCAGCAGAACCCTTCTAAGGGAATAACCTTCTTTAGGCTTGTTAAGAATTGATGACCTTATTAATTTCTCTTTTCTCTGGAGTCCCTTTGCAAATAGTGGCTTTCTGGAATCCTAGAATAATTAAGATTGGAAAAGACCTCTAAGATCAAGTCCAGCTGTTAACCTAGTATCACTGTGTTCACCACTGAACTGAAGCAGCTGAGCAGCTATTTCCAGCACCTGGGAATCCAGCATCCTAAGTATGGCTTGTATGTAGAGGACTTGTGCAGACAGAGTCTAAGCTTCTCATGCTAAGTCAAAAGTTGAAGATTGGAACTTGTGTCATACCTGATCCTTTCCTAAATAGTTACAAAATTGTGCCTTGGACACCTGTTTGCTGCTTTTCCACTGCTCTGGCTGTGAAGAATATGACAGAAGTGGTGTTCCACATCTGCAGCCAACCTGGAACCATTGCATTTTCTCGAGAGGAGAACTTAACTTGGAAATCTCATGGTGGTATTAGCAGTTGATAGTTTGAATTTATAGGGTCATCTTTTGAACATAATTTTTTGCCTGTTATGCTGAATTCATTATTTAAATAGCCCCTTACACTTTTCCAGCTCTCCAAGACCTCAGCTGTTCCTAACCAGCCATCAGATCGTTCAGTGTCTGTCAAAAGATTCTTCTGAGGCAGAATCTGCAGCATACTGAAAGATCAGTGGTGATCAGCTAATATAACAAGAACAAAGCAATTTAAGATCTGGTTTCCTTTTATGTTATATATGTCAATTGCTCAGAGGGAAAAATGCTCTCTGTTGTGTCCTTGTATAAAAAAGCAGACTTGCTCTGAAGAGTTTACAAAGTTGGTAAGAAATGAAAGAAAAAGGGAGAAGATAAGAATGAAGGAATACAAGATGGTAAAGAGATGTTAAAGGTGTATTTAATAAGTATGAGCCTAGGTATTATGCACATCTTCAGTGTTCCTAAGGAATTGTAAGGTTGTTTCCCCTGTTTTAAATGGGATTTTCTTCTTTTGTATTCTTGTATCACACATTCAAATAAAAAAATTGGTGGAGTGTGTTTTTTACTTACAACATTAACAAAATAAAAGGGTTTTTTAAGCTATAAATTCTTCTTGTGGAAACTTGGAGAAGTGACAACTGTGATTACTCAAGAATTTTCAGAAAGTATGTTTGGTACATCTGTTGTTGTTTTAGCAGGACAATGGTAAAAGTTTCTTTGGCTAGGTGTTCTCTACTATTTAAAGCCTTTTAAAATTATGTCTTATTGCAAAAACACTCAGTTACATTACAAAAAGAAGTAATTTTAAGCCTTTTCTATATGAAGAGTACATCAAGTATCATAATCAAACTTTTATGAATCTTCAGGTTTGAGTGTGATTTTGAAATGTCAAATTAGCATATGACCTTTACTTGTATTTTTAAACTTCTGTGAAGTAAAAAGAATTATACCAGTAAGATATATTTTTGGAATAATGATTGCTAGGCATGTACTCCTGTGGAAACAGCAAAACTTCTTTTGCAAGATTAAACATTATTAAAGAAGTGAGGTACATGAGGAGGTCGTACCTCTTCATAGCATTCAGCTTGGGTAGGTAGCAGCAGCAGCAAAGGGTTGACTTTTAAAAATAGATTTCCAAATTACATAAACAACTATAAATTGCAGGAGATAAATGCCTTGATAATTGCGTTCATTAGCCTCAACATACCAATAAAGACTTGCCTACTGCTTTTTTTGGAGTGGACGTAAGAGGAAGAGAATGGAAGGTGGCTGGAGAATAGCCAAGGGGTATGAGGTATGTTCCAGTTGCTGAAAGAAGTCTTGTGGTGTCCCAGCTGGCAGGTTTTTTCACAGAATCATAGAATAGTTTGATTTGTAAAGGATCTTTACAGGTCATCTAGTCCAACTTCCCTGCAATGCGCCGGGACATCTTCGTCTGGATCAGGTTGCCAGGAGCCCTGTACCCAGCCCCTACCTGACCTTGAATGTTTCCATGGCTGGATCTGCCAGTTTTTTGTGGAGGGAATTGTGTATGTGCATGCGTGTGTGCAGTAAAGCTGACCTGTTGGAGTAGTGTGAACCAGTGGTATACAGTGCTTTGAATAACAACGATATGTGCATTGCTAGAAATTTAATATCACCATATTTTTACTTGTCAGTGTCCTAATGTTACCAGTTTGTGGGGAAAAGGTACTATTTATTTGGTTAGAGATGCCCCAATACCATACATGTTTTGAAAGCTTGCCTGGGGACTGTTTAGTTGATATATTTTTGCTTGGTAATCTTCTGGAAGCATCACATTGGCACTGATGAGTGAAGAGCATAGCAGCTGCCAAGGTGTGTTCCCGTGACCCTGGCCACATCTCAGAAGCATGGGAAGCCTGCAGGAGGTCAGGTGTGGTTTCGTGGGTTCTTTGGCAGGTTCAATGTGCCTTGACATCACTAAAATGACATCAGAGCTGTTCTAATGAGGCTGGGTTCCTTTGCTGGGCCTAGCTATGAGGACTTTAATTCCTGGCATAAAGGAGTTGAGGTTATCACTTTGTCAGGGTTTTTCTTCATGTAGACTGAAATTTTTCTAAAGAAAGTTGCTTTTTACTTGCGAACATTTTTTATTCAACCTGCTGAACTCTTGGTGTGCTGCAGAGCCTGGGCTTTCAGCTCTGGTTCTGAGCCTGCCACATGGGCTGTTTTGGAATTAGAGAGTCATAGGCTGTGCTCTGAGGTCTGAAATTCAAAATGCCTCTGGTCTCAAGACATCTAGGTATTCTTGGAAGTACTCTGGCTGCCAAACTGCAGGCAGAGCTCTGAAGTGGTCCCCCCTTTTGGCTTTTTAGCTACCTGTCTTATGAAAAGAAGGGCTGGGAGGCATTGTTGACACTGGGGCCTTGACACTGAAATCACAGTGCCTTCTTAAGAAATGTGTCATCTTTCATATTTTCCCTGTGATGAGAAAATCTGAAATGTCCATTACTTGTTTCAGACCATTTTTATATTTCAGTTAGTAGTTTGCATTTACTTATAACAAAGTAAGTCTGACTTTCCATAAGCTCTGGTTTTTGCTGCTTATTTCTTCCTCCTTCTCTATTTCTCAACTGGTTTTCTTCAATCTAATATTCATTTACACATTAGTAACCTTATTTTGTTAAATATTTGTTACTGGAGGTGCCTTTAGATTTCTTTTAACTGTTAGGAAGGCTTGTCTGTAAAATTGCATGGTTTGAATTTGTTGCATTTTTCCACAAACAGCTGTAGATAACAGAGTGTGGCATGGGATTGGAACCATGAATCCCACATGGCATGGGATTGGAAACATGAACACCACATCTGGTGATTAGCGGGGAATGAGGGGCTACTTAGTGAATGTAAGCCGGAGGATGGGAAGTTGTGGCAATAGCAAAATTGGCTGCCGCCTCAAGAACATGAAATGTGCAAGCCACATGAGAGAAAGGTATGATTTCTCTGTTGTGTTGCCTAACTTGTGAGTAAAAAAAAGTTAAATAGGACAACAGTACCATAGCAGGACTAGTATCCACAAGGGAATTTTTATTTATCAGTTCTCTGGTGCTGCCTGTTTGATAACAAAACAACAAAGTAAGGCCTCATTTGATGACCTTTTTGGAGATTGTAGCTCTAACAGAATACAGGAGACTTTTTTCAGATCAGCTAGCGATATTCATGGTTAAAATACTACTACAAAAAGCTGTGAAAGCAAATACTTGAGTAAGATTTTTCACCCCTGTTGTTCAGTATGCAGTGGCATGTCTTCCTTTTTCCCATGTCAGTAAGTAAATTGTCTTAAAAGAAAATAGCAGTACTGCTTATCGCTAGTTGGAAAGTCGGGCACCCATATTCCGTTTTCTTGTGTAAAACCCAAACAATAACTTCTGCTGAGGGACAAGGAGGTCAGACATTCTCGTTTTGTCTGTAATATTGCCTCCATTTGCCTCAGACTGTGGAACCTACAGTCCTTTAAGCACCTGGGATCCATGGAATACTCACTTTGGCCTGTCTTAGATCACTGTTTTCCCTTCTCTGTCCTTCCTTAACGGGTATTTCTGTAACATATAGTTATGAGATGAGAAAATGAGTTATGTATGAGAAAATGAGGGTCTGTAAAGAGGAGAAAACAAAGTGGAAAACAGTGCTCAAAAAGCAGTGGAATAATGAGGATTGTACTCTTCACAGCAAGTGCCACTGCAGTGCTCATAGCTCTCTAAGCCATTACTGTGGACAAGCTCATACACACGTTTGAGACTTTATTGTGAAGATCTGTAAAGATCCATCTCTTTGCCTTTTTGGAGATGGAGACATTTTTCAACCCAGGAGAGTGGGTGCAGTCTCCTGGCCAGGATTTTTAGCACAGCAGATGTTGCACACTGCTGGTTACAGGTCAACTGCAGAATTGTACAAAAATCTGAATTTCATTTCTGGCCTTTTTTTCAGCA